AAATATTCTATAAAAGCAAAATATTAAGTTTGTTTCAAAAGGCAAATAAAGGCACAAAACAATGAAAAATGCAGATATATATGAAAAAAGCTAACAAATGGAATTCAAAATACAGTACTTTACTTGCTAATCTAATGTGATGACCCATTGTGTTCTCAATGCGTACTCACAGAATTGACTAAAAAAATTTGGAACATGCTTGCGTATTATTTCATTAAGCATGATTTGATGAAATGTGGCCTGACTATTAAGAGAGATTAGCAGTCAGTATGAAAAGATAATACAATTCTGTCTTGACTCCAGCCAGCTCACCTAGAGGCAGAGGGGCTTGTGGTAGTGGCCATTCATGTGTATGCTACAATGGCTTAAATATTGCGGAATTTTTGGCCTTCTTAACAAAAGAAATTCAGCAGTTCATAAGCATGGTCCTTATAGAATCTGAAAACGTCACTTCCAGTTGTTGACATGTGGAAGAAATGCAATTTTTTTTTAATGACTGAGGTTTCATATGAAATGGGCTACCAAATCTATGAAAAAAGAAGTATCATTTCCTGCACAGTAAAAAAAAAAAAAAAAGCAAATAAGGAATCCTTAAAGTATCTTCCTGAAAGATTATAAGATTATATGCCATTTTTTTTTTTGCACTGTACTTCACCCTTCATTTTTTATGCATGTACTCAAGTTATATTTGTTCTCTTTGCTTATTTTTAGGGTACTTTGAATCCCTATTGTGTGTTGTGGGATGACTCAAAAACGTAAGTGACAGATGTTTCTACATTACTTTGAACTAAATGTTCAAAGCACATTAAGTTATTTCAGCTGCTTGTTAGTCAACAGGAATTTGATGTCAGTGGGATTTGAGTTACATTCAGAAACATTCTTTCTCTCTTTTTTCATTCTGCAGAACAGCATGCTGAATGTGTGTGAGTTTCCATTAGCTTGCATCTCAAGATAGGCTTGCATTACCTAGTGTGTAAAGAACACTGCAAGGTGTAGTCCAGGAGGGCTTTTTAAAAAGCTGTGGTGTTTTCAAGTATAGATGCTCAGATTTGATTTCACCATCTTCCCCTATTAATTCTGTTTAACACAGCAGATTAAAATCAAAATTTCTGTGGTCTCTTAGTCAGTGCATTACTTGCATGATCTTGAATCTATCATCAAAACAATACAATCTTTATAGGCAACTTATTTAGGTATTAGAAATTGAGTGACATTTGTTTTAAGTCATGTGTTTTATTTACGCAGGCAAGAGAATTTAATTGTACTCAATAAATATGAATAATTATCCTAGGCATTTATTTGTACAGGTGATTACAATATGTCTAGCTAAAATCATCTTACTCTCATTCATAATTCTATGATGCTTTAATGTCCTACAAAGCAGAAAAATTTTTCATGAATTCTTAATTAAACTCATGTTCTAAATATGTGTGTAAATTTGTTTTGGTCAGATAGATTACATTCTGTTTTGTTAGAGGGTTTTGGTGTGGTTTTTCAATGAGAAAGGGGAACAAAGGAAAGTGGAAGATATATAAATATCCATTCTAAAGCTAAAATGTTGTCAAATATTATGCCATATTGTTTGATTCTATACATATGTCAAGAATTTTCCCGGTGTTACTTACCCTAGATATTATCTCCTACTGTGGGTTATGATGTTAATTGCCTCTCACCAGTAGCTTCTGGTAAGCCTAGAAGAAAAAGATAGAATTTCTATGAATGGAGCAAACCCATTAGCAATATACTCAATCCTAGGCTACTGGTATAATGTAATCTACAAACATCTCTATATAGTAGGAAATCTATGATGTTAAGTATTATTTTTCCTTTTGGTTCACATATTCTAAGCATTTTCTGCTGCTTGGAACCCCAGCGCCATAACGAGATTTCCAACTTGCACTGATGAGAATTTGAGTTGGATTTCTTCACTGTCTTTTTTGATGTTGTTCTCTTTGAAACCTCCATGGAATCACATAAACACACCCATACCAGTGAAATGTCTTGAACTTTTCCTCTCTACTAATAATCAAAAGTAGGCTTCAGAGTCTCCAACACTGCTTATTATGTTGTATAACCAAGGGGGAAAAAAGACTTTGAGAGTCTGGTGGAATGCTCTGTTGCTTAAGATATTTTAAATTTCTAGTTTAAGTTGCTTGCGTACATTCATGAATAATAGCCAATTTTCATTAAGATTTATTATCTTCAAAGACTATGCTTCTGGGCTGATCCAACAGAGTCGAGTTTAACTTATTCCCAAAGCCCTTGAGAACTGTTAAAAAGACATTGTTTACTTTTGTGCCTCACCTTGATTTCCTTTCATGGACAGGAGTGGAGTTTAATTTATAAAGCTCTTGGGGTTTTGAGGTCAACATTAACCTTAGAAATCAATCACACTCTACTTAACATCTTCTGATAGCATGGCTCCTATCAGTCACAAAGAACATGTCTTAGTTTGTACCAATTTCAGCTTCTTACTTGTCCTTGAAGAAAACTGGTGAGAGATGTGCTTCTCAGGTCTTCAAAGCCGAGTACATCAAGAAATCAGTGCAGCTCATGTTTCCTTGATGTAACTAAAAAAGTGATCAAAATTTCCTATTGTGAGAGAAATTTTGTCCATACCATGCTTTACTAGATTTTTTGGGAATAAATTTTTAAACAATGAAGGTTGAGACAATTTATTACTTTATTTACTTCACTTCTTTCATTTTCAATACTTATCCATACCATATATTCAACAAATAATTACTGGTTAGTTTTGGGAAAAGAATTAATATTTACATGCTTTTTGAGGACCTTTTTTCTTTAATAATAATTCTCATCTCTGTTTCTGCTTTTTCAAATCAGTTTACATATTTCTATGGATCAAATGTTGAAAGTTTGAAAGGAGAGAATTACAGTTATTAGGATATTGAAGTTCTTTGTAAGCAACTTCTCTTATTTTTGAAGACTTTTTCCAAAATATTTGATATCATTATAACCGTATTTCTTGTAGTTTATCAGATTTGCTTCTGATTCCAGTAACTAAACATTGATTTATAAATTATTTCATTTCAAAGAGTATTGTTACTTTTATTGTCCAAGTCAATTTGTCTAAAACATGTTCCTAGGCACATCACAGCAGGAAGTTCCTGTACAGAAATTATATAATTGCTTATTTAGAACGCATATCTTCTAAATCTTTCACATTAACAGTATTATATGCAAGTTCTAAACTGTCTAGCTTATGACCCAAATATCCACATGTTGAATTTCACTTGGAAGTTTTTAAGGTTATATTTGCATTTCCATAGCTGGAATAAGAAGAAATAAGTATTTCTGACTAGCACATGGTAAAAACCCACTTCAGTTAATATATTGCCCATTTTAAATAGTTGACATTTGCCTCTAAGTTGTAATAATTCTACAGAATTTCCCACTATTTGGTCATATCCAATGATCAAGTCTCTAATTAATTAAAAGTAAGTTATTCTTTTTTGTTCCTTGGTTATATTCACACTGAAAGAAAAGAGAACATTTTATCATTATTAAAATGTTGTTGTTGTTGTTGCTATTTTGTACTGGTGCGTTGGAAACAACCCATAGATGACCCTCCAGTGTGTTTTCAGAGGCAGTTAATTGCACTGGAGATTGCCTGTGCCTTCGTGCAGTTTCTTGCCAATAGGGCCACAAGAGCTCCCTATTAAAACACTGTTGTTGTTGTTTTTGTTGACTGTCTTCAAGTTGAGCACAACTCATAGCAACCCTACGAACAAAAGGCCTGAAGCCTTTCTGTAACTATCAATATTTATCAAAGCTCATAGAGCTTCTGAAGACATGTTATTTCAGAAATGGATGCCACTCCTGCTTCCAAAAGGCCATATAATCTCCAAAATATAGTAAAAAATAACAATACTCAAAATCAGATGAGTTATTTCTTTTTTATGTTTACTGTTGATAAAGTTTCATTTCTGATGTATGACAACAATCTGGAATAAGTGGTTCATTGCCTAGTGGACTGGAAGCGGGGGGAGGGAGAGGGAGGAAAATGTACAACAATGAGTGAATAAAATATTCATTTCTGTTTTCAAAGAAAATGTGCTCTTTTCAAAGGCTGTGAACACCAAGAGAAAAATATTAATTTCCTAAGAAAATAGAAATCCTACTGAGATTCTTTGGCAAGAAACTAAATGAAGCTCTGTTCATTTTTTTGGTTTTAGAATATATATAATTTTTATGTTTTGTGATACCAACACATGTGTTTTATAATAAAATCATTATAAATATTGAAGGATCTATTTGAACTTTCTTCAACATTTTTTCTTTTTCATCCTTAAAAGTATTTTAATTTCAATTATAGACTATCTAATATTGAATCTTAAGTGCTTATATACCTGAAATTTTCTTTCTGGATTTGTTACTGTATTAACTACTCCTTTTAAACTCGATACAGTTTATATAAATGCCTTTAATATTATTAATAACACATTACGCCCATCAGAGTAAGTTATAAGGTTCAAGAAACATTGCATTATCCTTTCAACATGTATTCTCAGGCTTAACATTGAGAGTAAAATTACACCACTTTTTCTTTCAATTTTAATTGTCTTGACCTCCTAAATACATTTGTATAGCCCACATTTATGTTTCTTATAAAACATATTTACAATGAATAAATCATTGTTCAAAATTTTATCATTCTATCGCCAGCTTCATTTCTGTCACCAACTCCATATTTTCCAACTACTGATCCTTCTTCTCTGTTCCCAAATTTGCTTCCCTGTCACACTTTATTATTAATCCATCTGGAGTGCATGTTTGATCAATCTCTGATTGCAAAAGTTGGTAGAAGTCTTCTATTTTCTACTCTTCTGCTCTTGTTGTTTTTGCATATATTTGAATGATGGTGTTAGTCACTGGACTTTCTTATATGCGTATGGATATTACTTTGTCACTCACATTATACTGTAAAATAGATCTAGAAATTAGTTTTTTAACTATGAAAGCAACTCCATTTTTCACCTTTTCATCTCCAGCATAGTAGATCATAGATCGTCTGACTCAAAAAGCCCCATGCCAGTCCATCTCACCAGTATGTCAATATTAATGCATTCCATTTCTTTCTCAACAATGTCCAATTTTCCTATATCCATAGGATCTCACATTCCATGTTCCAATCACTAGTGTATGCTTACAACTGTTTTTCTTCCTTTGTGTTTCCATACTTGAGGGCTCAGTCTCAGTTGCTGTATCTGCTAGTCTATTCTGAGTGTGCTTGGTTTTTAAAAACCTGCTATTTCAAAAGTGGATGGCAAATCCTTTCTAATCTGTCTTAATTTGAATGCTCAGATTTAGAACATTATCTGATGGACAAGCATTTTATGGAAAAAAGCAGATGAAAGATATTTCCCAATTGTAGAAATAACCAGTAGATTCAGCATTGTCCCCACCCTTGACATGTGTGTCTTGATTCACCCCTTCTCCTGCTCTGTTAGCATTCCCTTCTGCCCCTACCTACTCCATTCAACACCTAAAGCAGAAATTGACAAACTATTGTACAATAAATTCATACAATCAAGTATTTTAATAAATAAAGTTTTACAGAACACAATTGCTCTTGTTTATATATTGTCAATGGCTATCCTCCCACCTAACTTCAGGTTTGAGTACTTGAAGTAGAAACCATATAGTATATAAAACTTATTACCTGGTGCTTTATAGAAAAAGAGACATTAAATTGCCAATAATTTCCAAAACAATATTTTTATGCTCCTATTTT